AATATTTGGCAACCTTATGAAGATATCATGAAGCCATACAAAAAAGTCGTCAGGAAAGATAAGGCATCACTGAGCCTCTGAAACATGGGGGCATAGACGATATGCTGTGCACATGGATACAACCGATGTTTATGAACAGAATTATTATTATAGCATCACACGGCAGTGCGACACGAACAAGTTATTTAAGAGGGACTCCTGAAGGGGGCGTTCTTTCTCCGCTTCTGTGGTAGTGACACTTCAACTCAACAGAAGAGGAATGAAAGCAGTAACATATCCAGACGATATAGAGTTAATAGTATCAAGGCTGTTCCCTTCCACAATCCGAAATCCAGAATGGGGAAAGAGCCCTACGAAGATTACATCTATACGCCGCGAATAACGAGTTATTCCTAGTAAGACAGAACTGCAACTGTTCTCGAATAAAACCAAACTAACTCTATTTCAAATTATTTTACTCTGTGGTACTATAATTTCTCTGTAAGGGTGGTGATTAGACTAATTCTTCTAATTCTTACATATGGGGCAAGCATATTCGCTAGGAACGATAAAGAGAGAGCTCAATGAAAAATGTAAGCAATTACAGATGGAAATTAAGTGCAGGATAGCGAACTAGATATGGCTAAACTATGACAAGACAAAAACAAAGGACTTATTACATAGGTTCAGGAAAAGTAAATACAAACTGACAGCTATATCACAATACAGTCATATAACAATACTTGTTGCAGCTGCAAACTCGAAGAGAGTAAAGAAACTATTCAACACCTCCTCTGGGAGTGTCCTGCTATATTAAAAATCAGTTAATGAACTCTTGGAATTCATTAGGTACCAAACCCTGAATGTCTATCTACAAAATACATACACAACGATGAATCGTGATATCAATATTTATTGTAATGGTGTATCAAAATGGCGCATCTTGTGTGCGCAGGAAGCTTTATTTCACATTTCCCCTGATTGAATAAGCTGCCGATAGAATAGGATGGTTAAACCGTCTCTTGCTAAGGAACAGTTTTAAAACGTAAACTCTATCTCAGTTTCATACCACTCATAGTTTAACATGTACAGTATAAAATCTTTTTTTTTAACTTTATTTTAATATAATTTAACTTAAACAACTTATCTAACAAGAATGATAGATTATTTCTCTAATTTTAGTCTGGTGAGCGAATCCGTATTAATTCATATTTCTCAGTGCGAGGGCATCCTTCACGTAGTTGTAGATTCTCATTAGATTAGCTTTACAAGTATTTTGGATATTCAGCATCGCAAAGATAAGAGTAGGTCCGTTGAACTCTGCAATTAGGTCCTGAAAGTACTTTATTCTAGTTTGCTCATATCTCTGGCACTCAATTAATAAGTGTAGTATTGTTTCTGTGCTTTGTCGCCCACACGCTTCACATGGACTATTAGTATTGAGTTTATAGCTTATGCCATTGCACGTTATGAAGTAATAATATTTATTCGCCAGTTTGAGTTGTAAAATTAGTCTGATTAGTTCCAGAGGAGCTCTCAATCTTAGATATTTCGGAGTAGATAAGTTGAGAGATCTGATAGATTGGGTCCTTGAACATGTCCCCGAGTCCTTGATCTGCAAAAATCTTGGTAAGAGTAGCAATCAAATATTTCTTATTTCCTTGGTTCAGAGTTATTGATATTAATTTCTTTATAAATATTTTAGGCCAGGAAGATTCTCTCATATTTAGCACCTTAATTATCCAAGTCCATATTAGGCTTAGTGAACGAGTAGATAGTCTTGTTAGTCCCAATTCCAGTCCAATGATGTATCCAAGTGTATTCTTAGGCAGGTTGAAGATTTGCTTGAAATAATCTGCTTGTACCTGTAGGACCAAAGGTTTGAACACTGTATAGCAGGGTGGAGGCAACCAAGCTGTCAAAAAGCCTGGCTTTAGCAAACCAGGAGTCTACTTTCGCTTTGTATAGCACAGATTTAGTTGCACCGAGAGCTTGTCTGGCATTGTTGACTGCGGTGCAGTGGCAAGATCTGTCGAAGCGTTGTTCCTGATTATTGTTCCCAGATATTTAATTTGGTTGACCGTTTTAATTGTCTTACCCTCAACCATGAAGACATTTTTTTGCAATATTCTTGATTCTTCGTGATGTTCTGCAAACCAGAATAGCTGATTTCTCAACATTGACCTTTAATCCGTCACTTTTAAAGTATTCCTCCAGTGAAAGTAGTAGCCGTTGAGTTTCTATTAAAGTACGTCCAAATATGTTAGTATCATCTGCAAAGAGTAATGCTAGTAGGTCTTTATCATTAAATGCTACTGGACTGAACTTATATCCCTGCAACACTCCTTCTGAGACATTGAATTCTGTTGTGAACTCCTCACCTGCTTTTATTTTAACTGTCGCTTTATCATACATGTCTCTAGCGATCCTGAGGAATTTACTGCTTACTCCCAGTTGAAAGAATTTGTCCCACATTTTCTTGTGAGGTACTGTGTCAAAGGCACGTTTAAGATCAATGGAGATAACGTATATCGCGTTGCCAGGTAGACAGTTCTTGATCTGGATCGTTGACAGCAAGGTGAAGCTTGCTTGTTCCTCTGGAAGTAACTGATCTCGTTCGAACCAAGATATAAATCGTTTATGCATAATGCTTGTCAAGATTTTGTTGATGTTGTTAATAAGTGCAATCCCCCTGTAATTTTCCGGATTGTTCCTTGTACTTTTTTTATACAGCATCGTTATAGAAGCTTTTGGTCAATCCGAGGTAACTTTTTCTTCTTCCCACATCTTGTTTAAGAGTGCAGCCAAGTACAGAACCCAATTCGATGGAAGATTTTTAATAAATTCGTTGCTGATCTGATCTGGTCCTGGAGCATTATTCAGCTTTGCTTGTGCTATGGCTGATTCGATTTCTGCCAGTTATATTTCTCGGTCTAGTTATGGATGTCTTGCATCGGTATATTGAGTGTGTTTAGAATTACCTGTTTTGTACATTTTATTGTAGAACTATTCCCAGTTGTCTATTGAACTGCTGTTTTGTTGTAGCTTTGGGGATCTAAATATTTTAACCGCTTGCCAGAATTCCTTTGGATCTTTATGATTAGCAAACTAGTATCTTATTTCCAGTTGATACGACTTTATTTTCTTTTTTTCCAGTTTGTTGTAATTTCTTTTTGCTTCAAAGTATTAAGTCATATAAGGCTCTATAAAACCGCTTTTCTTGCAGTTTTTGAGGTTTCGAATCTCTGTGCGTTTTAGGTCTGATAGTTCCTGACCCATGGTCTACGTGGTTTTCTGTGTGACATTTTTGTGTTAGTTACCATCTTTGTCTTAGTAGTAGTAAGTCAACTCGCCTCTTTGAAGTTGTCATATAATTGATCAGAGTTTAGAATATGGAATGGCAGCTTATTTTCGGTAAGAATCTCATTTCTTCTATGTATGAATCTGCTTTTCTTGATGAGCATTTCATTTTTGTAGTAATGTTCGTCATGTTAGGACCCTTTACTCATAGATTACAGGGAAAGTGGTCTGAATCATACGTTTCTTCATTAACAACCAGGGACTGAAAACATTTGCGTTGAAGAAAGTGTAGTCTCCCTTTTATCGCCAGGAGATCTTCCGTTCACTAATATAAATCCATTTTCTTGCATGAACTGTACGAGAAGATGCCCATTTTTTGTTCTTCACATTCTGTCCTTGAAGTTTCTTTGCAAGTATAGCTTGGTGCCACTTAGGTAATAGCTTGGGACTCGATCATCAAAACTGCCTATTCTGGAGTTAAAGTCTTCGCCTATTATTATTGGCATTCGAATTTGTATGAATTGTTCTAATGCTAATTGTAGCTCATCCAATAGTTCTTTTAAATTAAGATCTGGCTTAAAATAAAGGGATACGATTATCAACTGGTAAATATGTTCATTTGTTGGACAAAGAAAATTTCCTACATCATTGCATTCAAAATGGACAATATAATAACGCATATTTGCACAATACGATAATTATTACAATCTTCACCTCATCCCTTCAAAGGAAAACCCGTAGTAAAGGAAATATCGCTGCCGTTCTGGTCAGTGTTGAGGCCAATCCGAATCAGTCGGTTCAACGTCGTTCTGCACAGTTGGGTCTCTCTCCGATCACAACATGGCAAATTTTGTGGATGGATTTGGCTCTGTATCTCTATAAGATTGTGTTGGCACAAGAACTGAAGCCGACAGACCATTTGAAGCGCCGTAGCCTTGGGTTTTGGAAATAATGGATTTTCATTGAAAAATCATCTCAGGTGAGGCCTATTTCTGGCTTAATGGCTTCGTTAACAAACAAAATTGTCGCTGTTAGAGTGAGTCATATTCTCATGTGGTTCAGGAAGAGTGAAGTCAAAGGCTTCTTCACAGGCATATATTTATATATGGTAAAAAGCTCAAAAATTCATAGTAAATTGAAACCCATTCCAAAAGAAAGATAAAATAACACAAAGAGGAAAAATAATTCGAAAAAAAAATTATTTGAAATTGAAAAGTTGTTGGTAATGAAACTGACGTACTTATTTAGTGAATTATCGCACTTTTAGTAGTTTTCGAAATGCTCGTATTTGGGGAGTACGCGTGATTATCATCCAATTATGGTGATTTTTATAAAAATTTTGATTTAGGGGTTTTCAACCGAATTACAGTTTTGTATCTTCATTTGTGGCTTAGTTATACACTTTGTTCGATTTTAATTAACAACATTTTATGGGCATGACAATGGTGCGATTCTGCTCATCTGCAATACTCGGTCTACAACTCATCTCATCTCCCTGATCTCAGTTAGTTTAAGGTGTTATAAACAACCGTTAGGTGATAAAAACTATTATACTCTGTAGCGACAGTGACGAGAGTATAAAATAGGTATTCTTAACTATACGACATTTTAAGAACTGTAAAGCATTTATTTTATGTTACCAACTTGGTGGATTTAAGGTGTAATATTATTTAAACTCAAACGAGTGATACTTTAACTTATTATTTTAAAAATCAGTATAGTTATATACAAAATCATAATAGTTTTATCGCCTCAAAAGCCTTTATTAATATGTACAATTTTTTATCTATGTTTACCCATTTGAATGTTTTAATGTTGTCATAACTTCCCCCTCTGCCTCCGTTTGGGGGGGGTGTTCCAGAACATGATCAATTAAACCTATCCTTTTTGCTTCTTCTGGAGACATAAAGTTATCACGTTCCATATCCTGTTGTAGCTTATCGTAGCATTGTTTCGTATGTTTCACATATATGTTTATCAATTGTTTTTTCAGCTTTATAATTTCCTCTGCCTGAATTTGTATGTCCGTTGCTTGTCCCTGAGTAAAAAAGCATAAGTATTGTTTTAATAATCCATATATGTATGTATAAATCAATAAACAGAAATTATTTAAAATTACATTAGTCATAAAACATTATTTTAAAGTTCTTATCTTCTTGCATATGTAATAAACCAACGCTACAGGCAGCGTGAACTACAGTGATCTCGTCCCGATGTTTTTTTCTGACCGCCTAACTATAATATCTATTAATTATAACTTTGAGAAATTTCGAAATTGTTTTAATTGTTCTTTTCGATTTTGATGCGTAAAAGATTCAATACTTTCACAAAATTATATTCATAAGTTGCAATAAAATTCATGGTAAAATAACTCAGGTACATTACACTACAAGTACAATCAGTATCAACGCTTTTCTATCTAGCCATTAGAAGAAATATAAGATTACGTAAATATAACATTCTGCTGATCCTACTTTCGCAAAATGATATTCCAAAATTAGAGTAAAAATATTTACATGGTAAAATAATTCGGGTACATTACACTACAATAAGTACCTACGCTTTTCTATCTAACCATAAGAAGAAATATGAGATTAGCTGAATATAAAATACTGCTGATCCTATCTTCTTAAACAATTATTTTACCTTTAGCCATAACTCGGAATTTCAGTTGTTGTTTATGAACAACGAAGATGAAAAAATACTTATTATTACACATTTTTTTAACAAGATTCTTCAGAATTGGAAGGATAAAGTGTACAGTGGGTAGTTATGAGCAAAAATATTTACTAAATTCGTTAGACTGACATGAAAATGTTTGTTAGAAAAAAAATCAAATTTGAAAATTTCCCACAACTTTGCTTAAAAAAGTATAAAAAAGATAGTATACAGTTTGACAATGAAAAAGTACTATATCAAGATAAGTTTTTTTGCCACATATGCACAGCCATTTATTGTTTAAAATATAAACCAAACCTAGTATTTATATTCTTGAAATATAGTACGGGTACATTGGGTATATGTATTTACAAGATTCGGGGCCGGTCTGCTCTAGGAGAGCAGGAAAAACTACGTAACATAGTTAAAGTTTTGAACATTCTGATTTGATTTTCTAAAAATTAAGATCTATTTTTTGGCTTATTTAAGTTAGTCTCAATTCAAGGATATGATACAAAATAAAAACGGATTAATTCGAAAAAAAATCCAATACAAATTCGATGTTTGAAGATAAAATGTTAAATAATATAATATGTTTCTTTGAGTAAATATAGGAAATTATCTTATAGTTGGAATGGAACGAACAAGCAATTTGAAAAATGAGAAGTTTTATTTTTTTTACCCTGAGCAGGGTATATTAAGTTTGCTACGAAGTTTATAAAATCCAGAAGGAAACGTCAGAATATACATACAATATATAAAAATGATCAGCGTGACGAGCTGAGTTGACTTAGCCATGTCCTTCTGTCTGTATATACGCGAACTATTCCTTCAGTTTTTGAGCTATCGCTATGAAAATTTCCCAGGAAGCTGCTCATTTGTCATATCCGATATCGAACGACTATAGCATATAGCTGCCATACAAACTGACCTATCAATTTCTTCTACAAGTTGATACTTGGGTTAAATAAAGAGGTTATTAATAAAGTGCATATTAACCACATTTTGAATATGCTTGACATGAAAATGGAAGCATCAAATATTTTACACTTACGATTATTCATTATTTATTAAATATTAAAGTTGACATGCATAAGCGATGGTGAAATATAATTCTTAACTAGTGGGTACCGCACGCATGAGCTGTATAAGTTATACAATTAGGAATACCTTTAAATATTTACCTCGTTTTTTATAGAAATAGCATTTATAGACTAATAAATTCAGAGTCAACTCTCTTAATATATGTCATATGTATGTTGCATTTCATTACATTTAATTAAATTACGCAATTACAGGAATAATAATATAATTATTTTGGTAGAGCTGTGTTATCCAATATGAAAACTTCAAGTGAAATTCTCTGAGAAACCGAATAATCATACGGAGTTGTGGGATCTTGTATTCGACGGCCTAGAGAATCTTGTGGAGTAGGTATGTACTTAAAAACTGAACTGTTTGATTGTTCCGAGTACACAAATTATAAAAGGGTTAATCACTTAAGTGAGGGTAGGGTTGTGGTTTATTGTGCCCTAGAAGTGGGGATGGTGAAATCAGTAATGAACGAGTGTAATCGAATATTTTATACGTTCGCAATTTGCAATGAACAAAGCTTGAGAATCACTTTCAGGTATTGGCAAAATATATTCAACAAGTAAAGAAGGACTACGTTCGGCTTTTACCGAGCAGGGTAGCAGGGACAAAGCTTGGGAAAAACTCTCAAGTGTTGGTAAAACAATTTTTTTCAAATAGCAAAGCCGGAGGCATCTTTTCAGATATTGGCCAAATTTTAAATAAATAACAACTTAGGAAGGGCTAAGTTCGGCTGTAACCCAACACTTCATACTCTCGTAACTTGCATAGATTAAAGCCAAGGAAATACCTTCAAGTGTTAACAAAACTTTCTATTAAAAAATGTTGAGCAACAGTTTAACATGCGTTATTCTAAAAAACCGAATGGGCTTGTACAATCAAAAATTTTATCTTCTTAACATACACCTGCGGCCATTCACAACTTAGCATAGTGTTACGCATATTTGGGAACATTTTATAACGGTACTTTTTGCGGTATCGAGTTTTATTTTTTTTTTATTTAAAAATAAGTAAGTGACATGTTATTTATCAAAAATATTAAAAATTAAAAACAAGACATTAAATTGTAGACTAAATCATATCCAAGTTAGTGAGACTTATAAAATGAGCTCGAAATATAAGGACTGACACGCGAAGAAAAATTTATAATTTTTTATTTTTTTTAAATTTAATTTAACTTATATTATAATTAAAAATAATGTTTGTTTTTTTATTTAAATACAAAAATTTGTAAACAATAAAATCGGACGTATTTATACAAGCCAAGAAAAGCTTTTTTGTGTTTTATTCAGTAAACGGAATAAAGGGCTTATTCGAGGAACTCAATATCTGCGACAATACTGCAGCCCTGATACTTGATGTAACACTGTTGTAAATGCTCAGCTGATACTTAAGCAAAATCATTGCAACATTCTGCGCGAATTGTGTAACCGAACGTGAGATTTTCACCATGAATCTTTTAATAAATATAGCGATAGAAAATTCCTTGACGAAATTTCAAAAACGAGGACAGTGACAAAGATGGCAAAAATTTGGAAAACAAGTCCATCATATCATGATGATACATATTTCACGCATTTGATCTTTTCTCGTGAAACATTTGCTGTAAGTATTGTGGTTTGATTTTTTGGAAGCGCCTGATAAATAACTTAATTCGTCTTGAAGAATGCGTTAGAACCTTTTTTGTCAACACCATATGGGGGATATTCCTTGGACCATTCCTTGAATAAGACTCTTTAGAAGCTAAACAATAGAAGTCACTTATCGCGAGCTTTCCGATAGATTCAATGTTGGGCAAAGAACTGCAAACTTAACCTCAAAACAATCAAGACAAACGAAAATAAAAATGAAATACTTTTGTTGGCTATCAGTTTCACGGCAGAAAAAAGTAATGGAAATCTTTCAAACAAGCTGGGTAAATTCATTTCCTTATGTTGTTGGATGCTTGAATGGAACGCATTTAAAAATTAACACTCCTCAAAGAGATGCAATTAGTTAATTTGACCGTAAAGAAAAATTTTCAGTTATTATGCAGGTATGTGTTTGGCAGATAGAGCGGTTTCAAGATGTTGTGTGTAATATAATATTTTCGATTATTTAAGTCATATGCGACAGCACGTACCGTTTTTTAGTGTGTGTTTATCGGCTACCCAGGTAGCTGCCATGATGCCAATGTGTCCACTTTACTAAGGGATCACGTCTGGACAGATAAAACTTGCGAAAGATGCAATTATCCTGGCCGATTCAGCATATCTTGTTTCAAAATACTTAATTGCTCGTTTTAGGGATAATTGACAATATTTGAGTTCAACACGAGTATTTGTTGAGCAAACATTTGGAGAGCTAAGTTCAAAATATGGAATCATATTGATGGGCGACATATAGAAGACATATCAACTATGGTATTGACTTGTGCAATTTTACATAACTTTATACAGCAAAGCAATCCAGTTCATCCTGAAGACAATCATATACCTGTAAATTTAGAAAATTCAAATGATCTCGATATGATGTCACTACCTAAAAATATAAATGACACTAATGAAGGAATTACTAGCTTTCTGTTATTTTTCGCACAACTCCAATTTGCCCTAACTCCAACATGGTTTTAATTCTTTCTTTGGTAATTAAAATTTTTTACATTTTCCACTTGCATCGCTTCTTCGCTAAAAAAATTCCAACGTCTCATATACTACAGTTTTCGGCCGCTTCTTTTGGGTGACACTATCCACTTGGCCCCTCTTTCCTCCTCACTCACTCCACTTTCAACAAAACATTGCAGGGAGCTTTGAAAGTTTCCTTTTGGAGGCTCAAGGAAATGTCGACTGCCAAAAACGCAATCGAAACCTTTAAATACTCCCACGTCGTGGTACCTTTTCCCATCGCATCGTTCCGCTTCTTTATTCTTTTATACGTCGCAAACAAGTTCAAACATTTTCGTTGGATGAGCTCTTTTGTTTGTGACACTTCCGGGTTAACACTTCGCATGGTTTCCAGCACAATACCCCAAAGGACGGATCCCTTTCGTTTTCCACCGGTGAATTCGGGCTCCAAATCAAGCCGTTTTTAAGAAAATACCGAAAGAGCGAAAAGAAATTATAGTCTGTTCCGCGTGGCCGCATGTGATTCACACTCATAGATTCACTTAGTTACATTACTTCATATTGCATGTCCGAAATATTGATATTACGATAAAACTTATAAACTAAATTGAAATATGCATATATATGTGATATAAATTGAATCAAAGCTACATTCAATATATGGGGTATATGAGGAAATTATCAA